GCTGCTTTACTATTTCATTACCATAAGTGGGTTTTGAGCCGAGTCATGATTGCTGATTTTGGGGTTTTATCTATTTATATGCTCAAATATGAAGAGGGTTGACGTAGCTGAAAATGATTCCAATGCAATATGAAGTATAATTCCATGGTTAAATCATGAACATCTCTTTTTTATGAGTTCTGTGATAATTTGTCTGGGATACTGATGTTCTCATATAGGTTACTGATTGAATTACCATACAAAAGATAAGATGGCTGAAGAAGTGTATTGTTGCACTTGCACCAATTGAAATAGAAATCCAACAAAAACATCTAGCTTTATACAGCATGACTTGTAGCAAGTTGGCCAGAGCAAAACAGTCTTTTCATTAGCGAGAGGACATGATGACCACTTATATATTGAAAACTGAATGCCAACTTTTGAATAGGTTACACTTAAGGTCTCATCATTCCTAGAAGTTGCAGTCAGCCAGTCAGTCTCCATTGCCGCTCCATCTCTCTCTCTCTCTCTCTCTCTCTCTCACACACACACACACACACACATGTCTGGCTCACTGAACTTATTTTGGAGTTTTTTCCTATTACATTTTTGCTGATTTTTCTTTACACTTATCCTTCTTGCAGCCTGTAGGCCTAGGAAAAATTGCAAAGCTGATAAATGCTGGGAAGATAGATTCCTCAGAGCTAATCACAATGAAAACCCTAAAGGTATGATATTAAATTTGTTGCCTCTTCTTTTCTTCAATTTTCACCTGCAGCTCTGTTGATGCAACATGTTTTCCTGTAAATAGGATACTGGGGCAATAGGGAAGCAAATTGAAGATGGAGTCCGATTGATGGGACGTGGTGCGGAGCATATTCAATGGCCCATCCATCTTGAGGTAGTTTTCATTCTTGATTTATTTCATGGTACTTGTGCACTATGTATCCTTGTAACTTGGATGTCTATATTCATCCACATTCTTACTGTCGTTATGGTTGTCATGCAAGACCTCCTCTATGCTGACTATTCGTCATTTTACACATTCTTCCAGATTAGTTTTGGATTAACCCCTCCGATCATCAAGATTTGATTAAAATAAAAAAGATCACTAAAGTTTGGATTATAAATCTATAAGCATATGAAGTAACCAACAGGTTAATTGCAAGGCAGAATTAGGTAAACATGGGAGATGCGTGTAAAACCTTTTCATGTGTGAGTGTGTTTGACTGAGCTTATACACTCTATAAAACATCTTATTAGCTGCTTGAGAGCTTATTATAAGCTCCTTAATTCTTGTCGGTAACTATTTTAGTAAAAGAGCATATAAGCTTTAAAAATAAGGCCTGAGGCTTTTCAGCTCCTAAAAATGGTAAGGTCATGCAGCTTATTTTAAAGAGCTTATACATTCTTCAGTCCTAAAATGTAAAATGACATGAACATTTTTATGTCTTTTAGTATTGCATTCTTATTGTTTTGGAAGATATTTAATTATCATGAAATACAACAACAACAACAACAACAAGATCCCACTACAGTAGGGTCTGAGGAGGGTGTGTGTACGCAGACCTTGCCCCTACTTGGAAGCAGGGAGGCTGTTTCCAAGAGACCCCCGGCTCAACCTGCACAAAAAATATGATAGGGTATACAGTATAGTTAATTATCATGAAATAATTGTTCCAAATGAACCAATAGCTTACAAGTCTTCAAAACAGTTTACCAACATCTAAGATCTTAATGGTAAACTTATCCACACACACCCACTCTAATTAGTTTCATAAACTCTCTGTATATTGTTCACACAGGTCTCTAGGGTCACAGTGAGGGCAAAAGCTGCAGTAGAAGCCGCTGGTGGGTCTGTAAGGAGAGTCTATTACAACAAATTGGGTTTGCGGGCCCTGCTCAAGCCCGAATGGTTTGAAAAGAAGGGGCGGTTACTCCCCAAAGCAGCAAGGCCTCCGCCAAAACTGAAACACAAAGTAGACAGTATAGGCCGATTGCCTGCACCAACAAAGCCGATACCGTTTACAACTGAAGAAAAAGAGGCAATGTCCGCTGCTGCCGCTTGTTGAACAGGCAATTCATTTGAGTATGTTTTTGTTTTGCCTAATTTTGCTGGGGAGAGAAGAACAAGAATCGTGGTTTTCTCTTTAGCTTGTTTTGAAAGATTTTGTGTTTTTGGATATATATAATTTATCTAAGGATGGCGTGGTTTAGAGCCTCTCAGGATAGGCTTTAACAAGCAAGTGCTAGTCGAGAGACAATGAGACGTTTAAAGTTTGCTTGAATGATAATGTAAAAATTACGCATTATTGTACACTTTTGACTTAGCTAAACTGTAAGAATAATTATTTTTAAATTTTTTTTGGTTGAATTGGTTACTTGACATAAATGTATCCCTAAGCAGAGAAAACTATTGGTATTTGTTATCTCTTAATCTCTCCATCTCAAATTTAATTACATATTTACTTGTCACTATTTATTTTGTAGAATTTTTAATGTAGTTTTTAAATATATAAATTTTATTTTTTCTAATTTTACACATAAAATCAAATAAATTGAATTGAAAATAAAATCAGTCAAATCTCTTAAATATAAATGGGAAGAACATTATAGGACGGGAAGGAGTATCTTTATAGGCCAAGATTGATAAAATTGTTACCAAGTATGATTGAATATAATAATTCTTGGTCATATATATAAAAACAAAAAAAACGATATAAATTTTAAACAAGCGACTCCGTACTACCCCTTCGCAATTACACCTCAGACATTTTGCTGATTTTTTAGGTTATAATTTTGACCAACATATGAAAGAAACTTATATGCTTCAATTGTAAAGGCCAGTTAGGGTGGTCATCAGGCAGGTAAATCTTACATACAGAGCACCATATAGGTGCTCGTATTAAACTGGTGTCAGAGAGTTACACTATTTGAATTGGTTAGTAAAGGCAATTTACTACTTGGTCCGTCCCTGAGTGTTTGTCCACTTTTGACTTTAGAAACTGTTTATCTAAGCACTTTGACTCATCAAATTTTCTCAATGTGTAAGCCTAAAAATAGTCATATGTGATCTTGTTTGATTCGTCTTAAAATATAGATTATTAGTATATAATTTTTATAATTTTTTAATATACAAATTATAAGATAAAATGGATTGAAGAAGTGCATTGGATGATGTGCAGAAATGAAAGTAGACAAAATACCATCATCCGAAGCATAATTAACCAGCTTAATTAGTTAATTAAGCGCACAAACAAAAACCACAGATAAAGAAGAACATATAACATCTACTACTTGTTGCCGCGGAGATCACGGAAGTAGGAAGCCGGGTCCCGCTCAAACTCATCCCTGAAGATGCGGTTCTGCGGCCTTCCCGGAGCTCTCATCGTCGGCCTGCCGCCGTTTCCCGACGAGCCGCCGCCGAAGAGCATGGATCCAAACCACGAGATCAGAGCGGCAGCAGCGACGCCTAATGCGACTTCAAGGCCGGCCGGTTTCTCTCCCTGCCCATCGCCGGTGTTGTTACCGTTGCCTTTTCCGTTATCGGCGGAAGCCATTGCAGTGGACTCTCACCTCAAGCTCAGCTCTTCTAATTAAATACTTAAGTGAACTCTTTAGTTTCTCTTTCACTGGTAGGAAGCATTCTATTTGTAGTCCATATATATAGAGCGCGCATGCATGCATGCATAGACGGACGTGAAAACGGTTGGATTTCCTAGAAAAATCATAAATGTGGCCGGCTAACCAGTAGTAGTGTTTAGATCTGGCCATAATTAATGATGTTTGCCTAGAAAATACAAACGACCTCTTTCATGAAGATGATGTTTGCCTAGAAAAAGTAGTACTCCTGCGGTCTTAAAAAACTACTACTACCATCATTCTTAGATTTTTATAGTCATATTGGGCAACACATTTACCAAAAATTGTAAAAAAGTATATTTAGTTGTAAAATAAATTTAGTAAAACTGGATTCATTTTAAAATATAATTTTAAAATATTCCGTATTAAAATTTTATACTCCCTCCGGTTCTTAAAACCATTCCCATTTTGACTTTGAACCAAAATAAAAAAAGTGTAATTTTGGTTGACTTTCCAATTTTGCCCCTGATGTGATACGTAAAAGTACGATGTGATAGGTAGGGTAGAAAAAAAGTAGGGGCAGAAGTGATTTTTTAATAAAAAATGTAAGTGTTTTAGGGAATTGGAAAAAAACGAAAAGATAAGGGTTTTATGGAACAGAGTGAGTAATTTTTAATTATTTAAACTATATTTGATTTATAATTAATATTTGACGAAAAAATCAAACTATGCTAATTTTTGTTGAGACAGAGGAAGTCCTATATATAATCAAACTATGCTAAACCTTTCGTGAACTGTGTACAATAATCGAACATTTAAAATGACTAAATTTATAACTTTTTCATTAATCATTTATTAAAATAATCATTTACTTTAATTTTTTTTCCTAAACGAATTCGAACTGCTCATTTTTTACTTTTTAACATTTTTTCCTAAAACTCTGTGAAGTCAAACTTATACCATTAGTTCAGGACATAACGAGTAACATTTTATTCTTTGCTCAACACAAACAATACCACACAAATCAACTTTATTCAGTCTATTGAAAATGGTGATAATCATAGACCTCCTCTCCCATTTTTTTCATTTCTCCGAAACACTTTCTCTTTTTATTAAAAAACCACTTTTACTCTTATTTTTTCATATACCCTAAATAACACATCATACATTTTCTTTACACTAATAATTTAATTATTATATTTTACTTTTATCCATCACATCAGAGATAAAATTGGAAAATCAATATACTTTCTTTATTTTGGCTATAAGTCAAAAGTTTTGGAATGGTTTATTGAAAGGATGGAGTAGTACGATGTATAGGAAAATCCTTATACACAGATTTCATTCATCTTTTTTTTTATTCATGCATTTTTATTTTTGATACCAATAATAATTAATAATTTAGGGAAGGAATAATACTCGATTACCCTAGTAATTAAAAACAGTCATAAATACAGACGCAGTAGATATGATCAGGGCCAGGGCCTCTGACTTGGCACTCTGCAATTGGATTGTGTCCTTTGAACATTTCATTGCAGTCTTTCTGGCAGCGCTCGAAACCCCAGTAGCATCCGTCTATCATCTTCCTGCACGCCCCCGGATAGTCCACGCCGCCCTCCACCTCCTCCTCCTCTTTTCCACTTCCGCCGCCGCCGCTCCCCGCCACCCATGCGCCGCCGTCGCCTTCTGCTGCTGCCCTCATCATTTCCCCTGCACCCCATCCACTCATGCATGCATTATTTTACAGTGGAATATATGGAGGAGTATGGATCGGAGTACTCCCCAATGGCCTATATTTATGCTAGTTTCTACTCACGTCCCAAAATTTTCTCGATAATTTTTATCTTTTTTTAATGTTTTTTATTGATCATTTGATAAAATAAAATATTTTTTCTCCATCTATTTTGTGTTAAAATCATCCTTACAAAAATATTAATTTTGAAAATAGTGCTTAAACGTAATTAACACCACTTCTAACTTTCTAAGTTCTAATTAGATGGGATATCATATTATTTCATACTCAATATCTTAGTTCTACATTTCTAATTATGTCCGACGCAATTTCTAAGCCCTAATTTGGGTATGTATTTAGTGAAATTTACACTAAATAGGACTAAAACATAAGCCATTTTTCAATGTAGGACTTAAACTTTTTTGTTTCCTAAATAGGACTTAATAATGACTAGTGAGAAAAATAATGTCAAAAAATGATGGGCATTTACTTGGATAATGACTTACTCATAATGACCAAAAGTCCTACATTAGAAAATAAAAACATATAGTTCTATATTGAAAAAGTCATTATGTTTTAGTTTTATATAGGTAAATTTCTCATGTATTTATTCATATTACATCATCAATTGATTCAATTCCCAAATTTTTAGAAATAAAATATAATACAAAGTAATAATTTGGAAATTGAATATTTAATTTGATAAAAGACACAATTTAGGGCACGTGAATTGTAACCGAAGTAATTAAAAATGCAAAACTAAGTTGTTGAATGTAAAATAAATGTGCCATGAGAATAAATTAAAGGTTTTAATTATGTATAAGGACTATTTTAAAAATAAAAAATTTTATAAGGATAACTTAAACAAAAAATATTTTATAGGTATCAAAAACAAAACTCACCTATTTTACAGGAAAAAAAACATATTTTACCCATTTTTCAAATGTAAGTTACATTTTTTTAGTGTTATACTCCGTAGCAATTTGTCAATGAATTCAATTTAAAAAGTACAGGATCTTAATTTGCACATTCTTCGAATTGTGTAATTTAATTTGGGAGTAAAAAACATATTTTACACATTTCAAATGTAAGTTAAATTTTTTAGTTTTATAGCAATTTGTTAATGGATTAAATAAGAAAAGTACAAGATCTTAATTTGCGCATCCTTCGAATGGTGTAATTTAATTTGGGAGGAAGGAGTACTTAATTTGTGGTCAAATGATCATAGAGATTAACCAAGGAAGTTAAATTATGATAATAATTCTCAGACGAGAGTACTCTCAGTTTTAGTAGGGACCCCTACGATGCTTTGATTGCAAAATTGATGTCGTACCCCTAACCCACCACATACCACCCCTAGTGATTAAAAGAAAAGCGTCAGGGGTGTGAGAGGTTTAGGTGATGGCCGCGTTAGAGGGCAGGAACATTATTTTTATAATAGAAACATCATACGAAGTACTATAAATGTTTCAATTGAATTGGTGTCACCTTTTGACATTAATTGAAGTGGTGTCAAAATGGAATTTTTCCTCTTATATAAATTTTACATTATAATTAAATAGGAGTATTTTTTCACACTTAAAATTAACATAAATGTCAAACTATGACAAATTTCTCTCTTCTTGTAGAAGATTCTTTGTTCTCAATTATATAATTTAATTGAACAAATTTAAATTACTTAATTTATATGACAACTTTTACTTCTAAACATGTTCTCATGTAAATTGGCTAGAACTCCTAGAATGAACGTAGCAAATAACTGATGAAATGCATGCAAATTGTAAAATGATGTCCCGATGGATATTTTTATGAAAAATTTTTCTAAATAGCACTAAAACATAATGATTTTTTCTAAATATTATCATATATTTTTATTTCCCAATGTAGCATTTTTAGTCATTATCTATTAGTCATTATTTAAGTAAATGTTCACTATCACTGGACATTATTTCTTCTCCAGACATTATTAAGGGCTATTGAGAGAATAAAAAAATTTAAATCCTATTTTAGGAAATAAATAATGTTTAAGTTCTATTTAGTGCAAACATTTCTATTTTTATAGTAAGACATACTCCATATATATTAACTTTATTACATACTCTGTACTTTTTTAACCTCGATCTTGGGTCACAAATAACCAATTAAATACCCTTATTGACATTTAAACTTGTGATCTTTTGTTTGAAAAAGTTATTGTCATATGACTTATATCGCTCGACTACAAGATCTTTTGTTTAAGGTCGACATTTTCCATATCATAATATACACAATTAAAAGCATTGAAGCATAAACTAATCGTAATTACCTGAAGATGCAAATATAAGAACGAGAAAGATGAAAAATGAAAGTGATAAGGTAGCCATTTTAATATATTTTCTAGTAAGATTAATAATCTTTATTATTATACTAATTTGCAAACAAAGATGTGGTGCTTATATATCCGTCCAAGTTCTGGCCCTGATTTTGTCTATTTAGTACTACCTCCGTTTCTCAAAAGAGTTCCTCTTTTGACTTTAGGGAAAAATAAGGAAGTGTTAAATTATAGTTGACTTTCCAATTTTGCTCTTGATGTGATGGATAAAAGTAAGATGTGATAGTTTAGTTGTTAGTAAAAAAGTATGATGTGATAGGTAGGGTATGAAAAAGTAGGGGTAAAAGTGGTTTTTTAATAGAAAAGGGAAGTGTTTTAAGAAAAACAAAAAAAATGAAAGAGGAAGGGTTTTGAGAAGCGGAGGGAGTATTTTAGTGCATGTTTTATTGTTACAAAATGGAATATCTATTTTCCGTTTGTGGTTAATTTCTCAGTGTTTTTTAAAGTTCTAAGTTTCGATAATCTCTATTAATTAAATATACTCCATTAAATTAAGGAATCAATATTACTCGATATATGATAAAAGACATTTAACAAAACTAAAAAAGAAATATCCTTAAAACGTCATACTCATATTCCCTACGGAGCATTATTTATTAACCACTTTTTACACAAATTTAAGATGAAAATTATGTGAATAAACTTTATCGTGAAAAAATGAAATAATTAATTAATTCATATTTTTATTTTCTAGAGTATAAAACATATCCTGCATGTACAACACGAAATTTGAGCTTTTGGTTGAGTTGATTGCTTGACATGGTATCAAGGTTTTAATGATTAAAATGTCACTACCGCCCAGTTTAAAAAAAATATTTTTTACGTGCAAATCTCGACCAAAAATAAATCTTGTCTACACGTGAGGGCGTGTTAGAATATAAAACATATCATGAACATACAATCACAAAAATAGGCAATTTACCTAAATAGGACTAAAGATAATGACTTTCTCAATATAGGACCATATGTTTTTATTTTCCAATGTAGGACCATTAATCATTACCTATTAGTCATTATTCAACTAAATGTTCAGCATCACTTGGAAATTATTCTTCTCACTAGT